TGGCTCGGCTCTATCAGCACTTCAGCGCGGCAACTTCAGCACAAACAGTCTCGTTGACTCGAGCAATCAGTCAATATACAACCTTACCAATTCGTCTTCAGCCACGATCCGGCCTATCGAAACACCCACCGAGGATAGAGAAAGGGACAAGGAAAAAGGAAAAGAGAAGGAAAAGAAGCACCACTTTCTTTCACGGCAAAAACACAAGCTCAAGGATGAGTATCATCTCCCACTATCATCAGCTGCCAGCAATTCCTTGCCAACAGATCCCAATGCGCCGAACCCTTTGTATAACTTCAACATTCCTCCGAGCCCTGGCCCCAACTCCTCTACCTTTGCCAAGGCCAAAAAGGATAAGAAACTCGGTGAGCGATCTGATAGTCGCCTGGAGAGCGAGTCAAGTTTCAATCTGCAGAGTGAATGGCCAGGACCAAGTAGTCTACCGTCTCTGTCTCAGCAGTCGACGATGTATGATCCTGTCGACCCCGGAAAGCTCGGTCTTCACAACCACATGTCGCTGGACGATGCGTGGCCGTACCTGAAAGCAAAGCTATTGGCCATATTTGAAGGGGAAGATCTGCGTCTCCCCGTTGAAGACTTTAACAGAGTTGTACAGATGCATATACAGTGGTGCATGCATAGACGCTCACCAAATACCATGTTGGAGGATCTTCGAGAACTTTTACACACAGGGTTCTTGTCACTTGACCGAACCTTACGTCAAACCCCAGAAGACCGGTTTATACCCACGCTTGTTGAGCTCTGGATGTTTACTTTTACTTCCATACTGCCATATATGCAAGCTGTCTTTCTCCCACTCGATATGGAGGTGTCAGGGTGTGGTACACTTATGACCGGAGAGCAGGCACGGGACTTCTGGGGCGGAGCTATAGCGTCTGCTTCTACTTCAGAGAGGCCAGCCCGTGTAGCACCGGCACCAGTAGTTCTCGATGTTCGGAGGCTGGTCCTTATCGCCTACAGAGATACTGTCATTTTACCACGGTACGAGACACTCAAGACAATATTCTCCCGACTATCTCTTGAGTTCCTGCCTTCGTCGCTTGCAAGTATGGCCATGTCTTCTCCCCCGGAAGCATCGCTGTCTACCTCCCCCTCTGAATCTTTCGGCCGGCCCGGCACAGCTATGTCTCTCGACCCATCTAATGCTTCTTACAATTCTACGAGTACAACCCTTCTGGGTGAAGGATCGGCAGGCGGCCGTAGCCGTGCGATCAGTAACGTCAGCTTCGGCAGTCACGGGAGTGATGGTGGGCTACGGCCATTCACGCCGTCTGGTGGCGGAATCCCACCACCGCCTTCTCTAGGCAGCCTAAGGGAACGTGAGCAGAATGTCGAGGACTCCAAACACATTACGGAGATGGTTGGTCGGATGCTGCAATGTATGAGTGTTTTGTCGGGCGTGTCGGCGGGTGATGCAGGTGCAGAAGGCAATGAGAGGGTGGTAGAGCTGTGTAAGATGTTGAAGCTAAACTGGCTTGGAAGAGGAAGGACGGGAAGAAACAGAAGAGGCATGGTAGGCGGCAGGGTGAGAAGGGACGATATGAGAGATGAAGTTCGTGTCTAGCAGCTTACGCATAAGTTAACGCATGGCATGGTGATGAGCAATGTACTGCAATCTATGAACCAACGTCTAAATAGCTGTAGACATATCCTCCAAAGATGCGAAATTTCGGAGGTGATGCCAGGTGAGGGTCCACGACCAGCTCTACTCCATATCTATCACTGCTTGGCAGAAGGGGCTTGGTCTCGCCGATGTGGAATGTAGCTAGAGAGCTTACTACGTGGTCATGAGCTATGTTGTCATGACACACCACCATCATGACACTACAAGCAAATGCACAGCATCACGAAAACTGCATAAGCAACATCACAAAATTGAAGACGAAATAATTGTGATCAAGATTAACTATGCTATCATACTTAGAACGCGGAGTGGTCTCCATAGCGACATCTAGAACTTGTTCACCGTTAGCTTGATGACCCATGAAAAGATAGTCGACGGCAAAAAGTGAAGATATGGTGTTTGATCAGACATCCAAGGAAGAATAAACCCTCATCTGTCCCAGAAAAGGCTCGATCGGGACTCGAGTGGAAACTGCGAATTAAGAGGAAATTTTCATCATGTAAAACGGGAGTGGTTGTTGTGAAATAAGATAAAATGAGTAGAAACTTACGTTAGTTCTCAGAGAGCTTTGTGAAGCTGCTGGGTTAGTCGTACGGTAATAGCACATTGTTCAAATCTGTAACAGCGATGTTAGCAAGGCTGGCAAGATATGCGCGTGCTAGAAAGGCTGAGTGTGGTTGTGTAGTCAGACGTTGATACTGGCAAGTAACAGGCCTAGGGCCCGAATACAGAACTTCTTCATGGTCGATTCAGTTGGGAAAAGAAGAATGTAACTAGTGTCATCATGCAGAGGGGGCAGTGCTGGGAGGTAGAAGTGAGGGAATGGTGATGCTTACCATTCAAATGCAAATTGGTCGCGAGGCTGCAATGAAAATTTTGCTAGCCAAACAAACCGCCAAAAGCAAACATCCATCACAACCAACACATCGGCAAGTCGCTCAAACGAATCCGTTCAAAATCAAAACAGATGCTCCAGGAAGGCAGTCGTCGTGCGATCTCACGCGTTGTGCTCGTGTAAGGAGGTAGACAGAGGCGGTTTGTTGTTGTTGGAAGGGTTGAAGCTTGGAGAAAGAAAATTAAGAGCCGCATCGAGAGAAGATATTGGAAGACAGTGCAAGAAAATTTGTCATTTGAATGGCACTGTGCCAAGTTCACGTGACCGGCATCTTGTCCTCTTTCGCTACTAGCGGCGGAAGCCAATTCAAGACCCGCTTCAAAATCGCGATAGATGCATGAAGCAATTTGTCTTGTCCTCCACCTGTGATGGATGGATGGATAATGGATTGTCTGTCTTGGAATAAATAGGCTAATCAGTTCGTTAGCGTTCTCACGTCATGATTCTGTGAGATTCTGCCAACTTTTCTTACTGAACAATGTGCTACCTCAGTATTGCTTTTTCTTGAGGCCAAAATTTGATTGCTCACGTTTTTTTTTTTTTTTTTTTTTTGTTGCATTTGGAGGAACAGCTGCAGCCAACACAACGCAGTTGAAGATCAATGCCGGCACGTAGGTTGAGATTTGGGACATCCCGGTTCTAGGGACCTTCGCGTGTCGTCAGGGATTCAAGAGCTGATTCGCTATAAGGGGGGAGCTGCTTCAAGTTTTACGTATAATATCTTTCTATCGAGTCGCTCATTTGAAGGCTCATTGGAGACAAATTAAGGGGACCAGCAGCTGTCAGGTCTGTGTCCTTTATTGGCTGCTTTGTTTCGTCAATGCTGGATCCGCACAAGTCTTATACTTCAATAAGTGCATAAACATCCACTCTTATCTCGGGACCCTGGTCCGAATCCGCCGACAAGTTTATCCACTTCCTGCATACCAACGAATTAGAACCATTTCTACAACCAGACAACCCCACTCGCCCAACTCTGCCAGACGCAAAGGTCAAATGGCTCCCCCAAAAGTCTACGACCCAGAGATTGTGACAGAGAACGAGCGAGTTGAGTGAGATCTCCCCTGGTCTGTAAGAGCAAGCCCGTCGATCATTATCGAATCTCTATCGGCATCGAATGTACCTCGACGCAGTCACTGCCACCCTGAGATCTCTTGTCTGAGAGCATAATCGCAGACAAGCCAGCGAGATCTGAGATCTGCTTTTTTGAACTCGCACTCTCCTGGTCTTATACCGACAGTTCACGCCTTGGGTTGACATCCGCTTGCTTGCCTTGCTTCCATGGTTCCGTCTAGTCCACAGGCTCCCTCTTAGGTAGACTACAACTGGACAACCAGCAGCAGCACACTTCCTTTACTCGAGTGCCTGCCAACTTCTCCCACTTCTTTTCTCCTTCTTCTCTTCCTTCTTATTTTCGACCAACATTCAGCCTGGCTGAATCTCAAATTTACCAACCACCCCCGTCACGTCAGATTTCAACCTCGGTATCTTGCGTGCGCCCTCTGCTTTTCCTGTCAGTCAGCTCAACGTGCGTACCTGAGTACCGGGTCCGCCGTCGCATTATCAAAGCCCAGCTCAGCCCAGCCAGGCCTTTAGCAGAGACAGTCCAGGCAGAGCAGACTTCTAGGAACCTAGAAGCAGACGACAGTATCCGCTGTACAGTTTTGTACCGTACCGAACCGTACCTTACTGAACCTAATCGCATCCGCGGGAGACACTACCCAGCCCAGCCGCCCACTCAACCACGGCCCAGTCCCCGTCCTTGCGACTCCCATTCTTTCTTCCCATCCCCGTACTGAAAGCGGATCAACCCTCTTTGTGGCATCGCTCCCGTGTCTTCGCATTGCCTTCTCCCCTGGGTCCCCGACTTTCGACAAATCTACCAATTTCTTACTCAACGCCTTGATCTGCGCTCTTTTTGGGCCTCACTTTTTTCAGGCCGTCCCGCGGTTTACTTCTATTGACCTCTTCGCTGGTCCCGGCCTTTGGAATCTCGTGACGTGCCACTCGCCCCATCGTCGCCTTATTCGCCCACAACCTCCTGTCCCCCCCGTCGGTCTTGTTCTCTCTCTCTTGTCCGCATTCGCAGCGCGAAACCACACCACCAAATAATTATCTCTTCCCCTCGCCGATGCCTTGGCGGTTCCTATCGCATCGACACTCTACGATTCCACAGCAGAAGACTCAATAGTCACGCTTTTGATCTATATTCCCTTGTCGTTTTTGATTTCCGTCACGATCAATATCGCACCGTGCACCCCGTCCTGTCTCGTCGCGAGACGCGAAATACCTATTATAAACATCCTCAGCCACTTCGAGTATCCGACATTCGTCTTTCGCGCACCCATTCGCGTCGTCTGGCAATCTCACTTAATTCCCATCGTTCTACGTATGCGATAGTATTTCCACGCGATCGTCGATATCCACGCCGTGGATAATCGACCCGACTACTTAATCATGATGGCAACAAGTATGGGCCCGAATTTCTCTGGGCATCCTGCTGGCATGGGGCATCCAGGTGTCGCTGGCCATCCCATGGGACCTGGTGGCATGCCTCACAACCCAGGTCAGCAAGGTGCTCCTGGGGGAATGCCTCATCAATTCGGAGGACCTATGGTCTCTGCTCCCGGAGCACAAGTAAACCCTGCCCTCATGGGCGGTATGCCGCCGGGTGCGAACCCAAATGCTCATGCTTTACAGCACCTCAACCCCACCGCGCAGCAGCAAATGCTTCAGCAACAGCTCCAGCAACAACATTGTATGTGATACCCTACTGGCACTGTCTTTACCATCCCTGTCCCTGCGCAACCGCTAATTGGCCCATTCACAGTTGGTAATCCGCAAGCGATGGCTGCGATGCGACAGCAACAGCAACACCTACTTCAGCAACAACAACAAGCGCGACAACTCATGGCTCATCAAGCCTTCCAAGCCAATATTCAGGGCGGTATGCCTATTAACATGGGTCAATTTAGCCAACTCAACCCTCAGCAGCTCCATCAACTCAGAAGAGGCCTGGCTCCGGTAGGTCAATTAATAACCTAGCTGCCATTCGCGTCTTTTCAGCTAACAAATCAGGGACAGCATCCACAAGCCCAAGCGATTATGGCCCAGCAGCTTGCTCTGCAACAACATCAACAGCAACAGCAGCAGCAGCAGCAACAGCAGCAACAACAACAGCAGCAGCAGCAGGTTGCTCATGCTCAGCAAATGCAAGCTGGACCTAATCCAGGCCAACCGATGCAGATGAACGCTCAGAGCATACAAGCTATGCAGCAAAATCAACTCGCTCTTCAAAATCAGATGGCCAACCAGCAGGGCCAACAACCCCAGGGCCAACCTCAGCCTCAACCCCAACCACAACAGCAGCAACAGCAGCAACAGCAGTCTGGCCAGCAACAGCCTCAGCACACCCCTCAGCAATCATCGCAGGCTGGTACACCCGCTCCCACTGGACCTCAAACACCAGCTCAAACGCCCAGCTCAACTCCTGCTCAGCCCTCCCAACTTCCACCTGGACAGAGCCAACCCCAGGTGCCACAAACTCCTGCTCAATCACAAGCTCAACCGCAGCCTCAACCCCAGGCACAGTCACAACCGCAGCCACAAGCTCAGCATCAGCAGCATCAGATGAGCGCCACTACCGCGCAGCAACTCGCACTTCAAAGCCAACTTCTCCAGCAGCAGCGACGAGATAGCATGAAGGGCCAATGTTTACTAAAGCTGATGCAATTCAGCGAACACTTGAGTGGCTTTCCTGTAAGATATATCGTAATGAAGTCCTCTGTGACAAGCTAACAAGAGATCTCTAGGGCTCAAAGGGCCGAGATGACGTCTCCTACTGGCAGGGCTTTGTGTTTCGCTTCTTCTCACCAAATGGTGTCTTTCGTCATTCATTACATATCACTGACGCCGAGGATACGACCGATAAGCAATACGAAATCGCTTATCCTGCTATTGCTCGATACTTTCACACGCATTTTGGCAGTGGCGTAAAGAATATGCAGTTGATCATGGATAAGGGTGTGACAGATCGACCTCTTCCTGGCGATTGTCACTGTATTGAAAATTCCAAGGCCAGTTTCGTTTATTGGTTCGAGACTGGATCTCACGTAAGACATTCTGATTGATCTGAGTAAATGAGTTGCTAAGATGGTGATAGTTGGTCGCTAGTGGTACGCTCCGAGCACAATTCGACGCTGAACAAAGGATCGAACTTTTCGAGTTCCTCACCACGAGTCATGACGAATTCATATCACGAAAACAGGTCATCGATGCAGCGAAGCCCGCCCACATGTGGATGAAGGAATGGCACAAAACTAACTCACAGGATGGCAAATCACCCGAATTGTCTAAGAAGGGCAAGGGTCGACAGTTGAAGTCACCTCAAACCCAGCCACCAGAGGTCCTAGTTGACCTGCCGGATTCGGCTGTCAACAGCAAAGGTGTGACTGAAGCTGTCTTCCAGTTTCTTGAGGTAGGGACAGCTCACTCAACGTAAGTAAGAGTGACGCTAATGAATAATGTCCAGATTGTTGAAGTGATGGGACAGATGAACCCATTATTCCAATTTTACCATTCGAACCCCGGCCTTGGCCCGTACCAAGCCCTCGATCAGTATGTCTCAACACAGATCAACGGAGTTCCGCCCAATATGAATGGTCAACAAATACCCCCCGGGGCCCGCACACCGAGCTTCGGACAATTTCCCATGGGTGCAAGCCCAGCCGCGGCTCATATGAACCTCCCTGGATCACCACACATGGGCAGCCCAGCACCTGGACACATGCAAGCTCCCGGAATGCAGATGCAGCAAAGTCAGCAGGGCACTGGGTCAAGCGGCCCCAGTGCAAACACCTCCCCCGCTTCGAACAAGCGCCGACGGCCATCAGCAGTGAAAGAGGAGGATGGATCTGGAGCACCTACGCCTGCTGCCAATGGAATCCCACGTAATGCCAAACCACCCACACCAAGGATGCCAAAGCGTCTCAAGGGAAACCCGCCAGCCCAGTAAGGGATGGACTGTTTCATTACCTCGCACAGCGAGATATTTGGGTGTTTTATTCAGCATCACTTTGCATAGTGGCGTCACTTCGTATTTGTTACTGCTATGGGCCTATCTGTGGGGAAGATATTCTATTGTGACAAAGTGAAGGTATCTTGAAAGACGTGTATTTCCACATACATACAATCTTGGCTATGTTTGTCAATGCATAACGGATGCTCTTGGGAAGTCCCTTCTTGGAGCACACCCTTTCACTGTCTAGCCATCTTTGTCTGGGCAGTGAATCGGAGACACGGATGACGAGACCCACGCATGTTGGAACATGCACATAATGATAGTAAACGACATCGTCATGGGCCTGTTTCTTGAGCATCAATGCCCACCACCAATAGAGGGGAAGGAGGAGATCAGGGCATTAATTTGGGTAACGTGGTTAAGTTACCTACTCTTGTACTCTTGTACGATTACAGGGGCCTGGGGCACAGGCTGGCGTCGAAAGTCTTGGCTACCCTTACTTGTTTTTGTCATCTGCATTTGCCTTGATCTTGTTTATTTATCTGAAAAGAATGCTCTCAGCAAGTCATTAGGTGTATACGGCCGGGGGAGTTTGGAGACACTGGTGGATTGGTCGAGCATGTCGTTGTCGTCAATGTCCGTCTTAATTTAAGAGCTAAAGACCAAAATCACGGGGGAGAGGAGCTGAGGTTGTGCTGTGCCGTGCCGTGCCGTGCCTTGTTGCGTTGCGTTGCGTTGTGTTGACTTATGAGCAGTCTGGTGGCGCGAGGATCATGGGTTTGTTCAGATTATACCTAGGCTAAATATGGAGTTTGGTCTATACGATGTTAATTCGATTTGTCAGTCTGTCTAAATCTTTGGTTTATCTTAGTGTTGACGGTTTTACTGCTCGATGAGCGCCTGATAAAGCAACATTGGGGCAAAGGTTCACTGTGCCACATAGTACAACCCAAGAACCCACATTGCACGAAAGAGAAGTGAATCAGAGCAATCTGACATGAACCAATCTTTGCAGGCATTGGTTACTGAGAAATCATGTCCCTTACCGGGCGTTCTGTTGATATCTTGTATCGCTTGTGATGAGACAGCATTAGACGAGGCAACTAGCAGTTCCATGAACAAATAGATAACGTTATGGATAAATTTTAATGCGTGGATGAATAGCGTGTTAGTTCCATTCCTTGGAATATGCTTGATCTTATTGCATACATCAAGTTCTAACACATGTTCCCCCCCCTTTGCCCCTAAAGTGCATCTTGCCGGCCGTCCAGCTTCATCGTAATGTTGCTGATGTCACTATCCTTTTATACAATCAGTACTTAAAACGCTTGGCGGAGATCGAGTTGTGTGAACGTACTGGAGGATGTGCTCTCAGGCACTGTTTTTGAACCACCAGCCAGAAGTCTTCTTGGCTGGGAGATGCTCACCACGAACGGAGATGTAGCACTTGAGTGCTCCTCTAGACGAAGCCATCATCTCCTTGAGAAGAAACCACTCAAGCTCAGAGCGAGCCATGATGTCTGTCTTGGTGACGAGATCACGATAATGCCACTCCTTATCGCTAGGTCCAAGTGGGTAAATCTTGCCGCCATAGGTCCAGTACAGCGTAGCAGAGATGAGCTTGGGACGGCGGACTTGGCGGCTGAGTCGATTCTTGCCGGATGCCTCGACGACAGGGAGCTTTTCCCGTAGGAGATTGAGGAGATGAACCCTGGAGGTATTAAGAGGAATGCTCAGAGGGGTCGGGAGAGGATCCCAGGAGCCAGTGAGAGTGCTGTCGTGGCAGGGATCATGTACAATGAGATCAAACTCGAGCTGTGAAACTGGTGGGAGAGGCACAAGAGGTCTTGCATCACTTGAGGGATTATCAGTTGAGTTGCTCAGAGCTGAAGGGAAGCTTTTGGCCTTGAGTGGATGATGCGCAAAGGGCTCTTGGGCAGTGATGAATAAGTCCATGGCACTTGGTAACTCTGAGGTTCAGAGTCTGAAGGAAACAGTGAGATGAGGCAAAGATAACGATGAGGAGAAGAAGGCTGAGGAAGCGGAGGTGTTGTGTGTAATTCAGGCCACCTGAGATGTTATTGAAGTGAGGGGTCGTTCTTCCACGACTGCGCCAGAGACTCAGCTCCTATTCAGTGAGATAGATGCTTTGCTTTTGATGAGCGCGCAGAAAAGGGCGAGTGTCAGGTTGGCGTGAATGTGAACTGGCCAGGGGCTGACAGTGACAACTTGGCGGAGATGCTTCCGAACCACACACGATCACAGTTACAGTCTGAGGGATTCCATTTGCTTCAAGGGCGTCAGGGGAAACTAGAATGAGGAGGGCTAATACATGATATCTCTTCACTGCTTGACCGCTTGTAAATCCCCTTATTCCCCCGTGTCACCAGGCTCCACGCTTGCAACTTTAGGCATCTTAGATCCCGGCTGAGAATTAGTCGCCACAGGGGCAGTATTAATTTCTGATGCAGCTGGCTCAGGTACGGTGGTGTTATCTCCGGCGTTGGAAGGTTCAGGCGCATTGGTGTTGATCGCATCCGTTGAAGAGGTTGATGATGGTGAAGGCTGAGTATTGCCAGTCGAGTTATTCTGGCTGTTGTCAGTGGTGCCATTTGAACTTCCGTTTGGAGGAGTACTCTGATCGTTATCGGTTTGTTGGGCCAGAATCTTAATAGGCACATAACCATGCTAGAGAATTCTATCAGCTATCTCCTTCTCCTCAACCACTTCCCTCTAGCCAATGCACTCACATCGACCAAGATGAAGGCTCCATAGTTATTTATTGCTGTGTCAATCATCAACTTATGGAAATCTGGAGCTGTCATATCGCCAAATGACACCTTCTTCACAAGATCTGGTGGTGAAACAGGTCCATCTATTGGGTTAATAGTGAGGATTGAACGGTAGCTTCTCGTGAGATAGAGTGTACAACGTCGGGTATAAGCTTTATCTCCAAGTCCATGCTGCTCAGACCACCAGGATAAATTTCCTAGCACTGTTTCCCGAGGTGGAGGATAGTTGTAGCAAGCATCGTTCGAGGCGAGAACAGTTCCTGCACGATGGTATATGACTTTGATCCTGATGGGTGGAGAAAAGGCAGGCCGATATAGCTGACCTAGCTGAACAGGTGCTATGGTGAGTTGTGGTAGAGCAACCGGCGTCGTAGGTACATTCATGGGAACTACTGGGAGGATGTAGTTCCCAAAGATGGGGGGTTGAAAGAGGAAGGCCATAGACGTAGAATTTTGGGGTAATGGGCGAGTTGACAGATAAGACATCATGGTTTCTGGTAGAGTTCTCTACTTTAAATACGTGAAATGGTAGGACTATGGGTCGTTTAGTCACGGTGACCAAGTTGGGTTCGTGATGATATGTTTGGTGTTTATGGCTAGTAGACTATTGCTTGGTGTCACTCACTCCTAACACTGTTCAGCCCCTGTGAATACACCTCATTCGGCCGAGTCCAGCTTGTGATTAAATGCATTAATAAGTCCCACAGCTTTTGCCATGTTCCATTTTTAATAGCTCATAGGTATGGGTAGATATTTTATTTCATGTATCATCCTCAAGAGTACTTAGGTGAGTCGTTGAGATGATTGCGTTTGACAGGTGAGGGAAGAAGTACTCAGGACTTGAATCGATAACTCCCTCTCTGTAGGTAGGTAGGCTGGCAGCCAATACCATACCTAGGTACTTAGTGGGACATACTTAACAGCAAGCATCTTAAATACTTAGGCACTACCTATGTACATCAATCAACTTTCCTAAGGTAATGGCCATCCATCTTTGAACTGATACTACTTTATAAGTGGTCATGTACCAGGTACCTCTATCATGATATGAAAGGGACTTTGGGTTCAGATGACAAACGCATACTCGTCCATAGGTAGGTAGGCACGCTGGAAAGTGCCACCTTTCGCGCCTGCTCTGTGTTTCAGACCAGCTCCTGCCGACATCGAAATTAATTTACCCCTTGAAAAGAATTGCATGTCCAATATCAAATTCATCATCCTCCAGTCCAATCGACCACTCTACTCTCTCTCCTTCGTTGTTCAACAAACATTGGCCCAGCGCAAATCGCTCTGGTTGTCAAATCTAGATTCGGCAATTGCATGACGGTAGAGACAGATTCTAACTTAGCGGCTGCCTCTGACGTATCATATCACACTAAGATCGACGGGCCTTCGTGCATTGCGTTGGCTTGGCCTTATCCTCACCAACTAAGTCCCCCATGCCCCGATAAACTCTACTCTATCGATCGCTTACTGTAAGCTATCGTCCACCAATTTGAACTGCATTAGAGCTGTTGTTGCTGTTCCATTGCTGTGGAGCGGATTAAGGATAATGACATAGCAAGACGCCAATGGCCAGGAAATCGCTGGTTCAAATATCACGAATGCGCTCTTAACAAGATGTCTCGGCAATTACAATGCCGTGGACTAGTCAACCGTGGTGAAAGGACAAATGGGCCCTCCATCCTCCTCCCTGCAGCTTCGTGGTTGGAACTGGGCTCCATCCCTACCTTACGGAAAAGAAAAGAAAGGCTCAACCGAAGCGGTGACAATCTACATCCTCTTCACCGTCAGACACCACTGGACTCAGTCGGTAGCCAGGTGATATTAAAAGTTACTAACCCTCCACACCCGGGCTATCGGACTTCCACAACAGGAGCGCCACGTCCTCAACGTCCAGTCTTTAGTCCAGGATCAGCCGCTGGGCGACGCTACCACTACAGCTTGCATTGCACTGGCCCTTCTGTTCCGCGTAACCCGCCTCCTCGACAAACCCTCAGCTCGCCGTGCAGTACAGAAATGCCCTGATACGGACATCGAAGACTCGGTGGCGTGGGGATCGTATTTTGCTTCTTGCAACATTTTCGTGGCATTCGACATTGATTTCGACTTGGTCTTTTGGCTTTGACAAACCGAGACCCTTGCTACAAAACCTCGAGATCAAGCCAACATTTCTAGTTGGTGTTCAATCGTGTGCACCACTCACCAACCATCTAACCTCTTACCTCTGATCACGTCGGTAGCCATGATACAATGAAGGGGGGCGGACTGCTTATTCCACCATGGTTCGAATACCACGAGCCAAGTTGCTCTGACTGGGCGATTGTCAGCATCGCCTTTGGCATGACTCTGTGTCTGTCAATTTTTGGTCTCATTCGTGTGGGTATTCAAACTTATCATCAATGGAAACGCGCACAAAGAATCACAACGTATATGGTCTTGATATGGCTTGAATTGGTCTCCAGCGCCATTATTGGAGGTCTTGGCTGGGGTTATGTGCGAGGAACTATTCGTCCAGGGTGAGTCTTGGTTGCTCAATCTCTATTTTCAATGACATCAAGCTCAATGATTAACCATGTCACTTCAAGGTTCTTGATATATTTCTTCATCTGTATGTTCACTGGCTCACGTTTGCGGTCCCGGGCTAATCGCTACAGTGCTCCTTTGGGTATTTCAAATCCATTGCATTATGCAAATCATTGTCAACCGAATAGCCCTTCTCCACGTTTCACCGACCATCGTTCGACGACTAAAATGGGCAATATTTGTTATCTTGGCACTTATTAACGTTTCGGTCTTTTGTATTTGGATACCGGCTCGACTGCAAATTAGCCAGACTTATATCGACATCAACAACGTTTGGGACCGAATCGAGAAAGGGATTTTTGCGGTTATTGATCTGGCTCTGAACTTCTACTTTGTCTATCTTGTCCGCTCGTCCCTCATATCATACGGCCTAACCAAGTATGTGGTGTTGTATCGCTTCAACCTGGTGATGGTCATCGTCTCCATCTCGATGGATGTAAGTCCTCATTATCAAACTCTTCTTTATATCAGCTGGCTGACACTCGAAATAGATTCTGATCATTGGGTCAATGTCACTACGGAATACATTTCTGTATGTTGAAACTCCCGTGTATTGCCCATCAGCTAATCGTTGTGCCAGATACGTCGAGTTTCACCCACTTGCATATCTCGTGAAGCTTCATATCGAATTGTCCATGGCCGAGCTCATTGCCAAGATCGTCAAGGCCTCCGGGCCCAATCTCGCTCCTTGTCGTTGCACTTGCCACGACAATCCCAACCACACATTCCTACATCAACTACAATTTCGGCACAGTGCAGCTGCAGCTCACAGTGTGACTGCACCAACTACTGGAAGATTCCGTCGCTCTTGGCCGATGTCAAAGGCCACGCGCAGCAGAGAGAAGCGCCGTGGAGGAACCCGATCACAAACTCCGTCTTTGACCAAGAAGATGGTTTCAAAGAAGCGACAAAGTAGCGAAGAAGACCAGCCGAAACGGGAAGTCTGGAAATCTGACACCAATACCGGCACAGACTGCGCCTCGCACCACTTGCCGAGTTCTACGGGACAATCGAACGAAAGCTCACACGATCATAATGACTGAAGCCATGACGGAAAATCGCGTAAGCGAGCATCTTCCCCATGCCTCTGAAGGTTCTGCCCTACAAGGCCAAATCAGGTAGCCATGCTAGGGGGGGAATAACACGAGACTGGATTTGGTGGTAGATCGGTGGGTTTTGGTGTAAGCCAGTCTCATGTATTCCCCCCCCCCCCGAGGCCATGGTAGGTTTGGAGCGAACATGGCGCACTATGTCTTCAGAGGGTTCAGAAGATATCAATATGAATAGCACAGGAAGGACTCAGGAACGGCTTAAGACCATGAAAAGCACTCTCTATGACGCTATCTAAGAGGTCGATTGACCTCGATAAGTCTCCAACACTTTGGGTCGGTACCAAAATCGACCCCACCGAGTAACTACCGGCGCACGCTTCTCTTCTTTTCCGCGGTCTCCACCTCGGCGAGCCTGATGAGGTATTGCTGGGATGTTGAGGGCTCTCCGATGCCATAGTCGGTGCAGGAGCCTACAGACTTCGTGCGATGGTCGGATATTGAACGATCGATGAGCAATTATCAGCTGAGGAGATAATGTCCATCCATGATCTCAGTGTGTCGCCCCCAGTCGTTCTCGATATTGATTGTACTTGTAGACCATCATCTTACATATGAGTTAAAGGGAACGAATCATTGGATATTACGAGGGCAGTAAAGTAGCATCCTAGTTATTAGCCAGGACACAATAACATCCTAGACGGGGGATCACAAAACCTGGCATTCCATATCAGGCATTGCCACAACAATTTGAATTTGTTCTCAACCATCTGCACTGCTCAACTTCAGTTTACTTAAAGGACAATTGCTCTCATATATAGCCATCATGATTTTGTGATTCGTTCTGTTGATGTGCTTCGATGTCATTTTTATATAGGCACTAATCATTATCCAGCCCGATCCACTATCAGACAAATAGCAAAGAACGCCGTTGATCCTGTACAGAGCCGTACCGAAGCCCTACCATTGTGCCTTTCGTGGCATTATGCCGTGTATGTGTCTACTCCCGAGCCCTAGGTTCCTGCGGATATCGTACGAGCTCTCTTCTTCATAGCAAGTAGTCATAGAATGCTCGTCAAAAATGCTTTGCCGTGTCATCGTACCCCTAAATCTGTTCCATATGCACGCTCATTTCAAATCGTAACAGTCATCCACCGGGCGCATGTTCGCCGTATACTCAAGTACACTCTTGTCAAACTTGAAAATGTTGTATATCGTATTACATGACACCAGGGGCTGGGTTCTCGTGCTTGGCGGTGCTGCCCTTGCCTCTCCAGGTGCTGACAGCAGGAATATTGGCCTCATAGCGAACTTCCTCGGTACCGTAGGCTCCTGGGGTAAGTTTTATCAAGGTGTGTAGGGGCACATTCATCCAAGGGCTCTTAGACTGGTCCTTCTTCATGAAGTATGCATATATACATCGTAACACAGCTTGGTGGGTAACGATAAGAATATCTTCACTTCGTTCCAATTCCATGATGATGGGTTCAAGGCGGATAACAACATCACGGTACGACTCCCCGCCACGATATCGGTAGTTGTACTTGTCTTCATCACGGGCGGCAAAGTCCTCGGGATATCGGTCCTTGATCTCCTGGTACGTCAAGCCGTCGCATACTCCTGAGTCAAGCTCATCGAGCGCCTTCCACTGGAGTTGATTGTAGTGCTGGGGAAGGAAACGAGAAGTAGCAATAGTGCGTCGCAAAGTTGAGGTCCATACTGTTAGTGGTCGATCGTCCTACCCAGTGTTAGCCACATAGAAATTGTTAGGGTGCGGCTGGACTTACACCAACTGATTTTCGGACGAGCTCAGGAAGTTTTCTCGCATACTGTTCACCACGAGGAGAGAGG